TCAATACTTTTTCCCTGTGTCATTCTACTTTATTACACAGAACTTTATTTCTGAACTTAGTTGTTTTGGTTTCTTTGTATGTATGGATTACTTGGATTGTTAACGACATCTGGTGAAAATTTCATATCAACAGCACCTTTAGAAATATATTTACTGAGAAAAATTGTGATGTGTTCAATACTTTTTTTTTTTTTTTCTTTTTTTTTTTTTACCTGAATAATATTAAAAGCACAGTCTACTCAAAAAGTTGTTTCAAACCTGTTTGAGTTTCTTCTGCGGAACACAAAAAGAAGAAATTTTAAAGAATGTTGGGAAACAAACAGAATATCCATTTTTTGGTAATAAGATAATACTAAATAAAGTCCACGAAGGGTACTTGAATCTGTGGAGTACCTAAGACAGAAAATGTTGGAATTAATTGAGAACACAAACTTTTCAGAGGTTTCTGCAATTTATTTTCCATTCCTCTAAACTGAACAGAAGGTACAGTTTTGAAAATCAAAAATAACACCTTTCACTTTCAAAGCAGTTCAGTTTCACACAGTTGGCAATTACAATGGTAACAAGAGTGTCTGCGTGTCATTATCTAGACACTCACAAACACACACCCATGCAAACGTTCACACTCGCGCTCACACACACACACACACACACACAAGGGAATGTAGTAGGAGAGACAGTGGACTGCAGGACAGATTTCACACTCTCCTTCTGACCTCTCCTCCCCAAAATGAACAGAAATACAAAAATAAACACCCTTAAAAAATTACACAACTCATTTACAAACACCAAAGAAGGAAAAGAATAAAAACACAACAACAGGAAAAACAACAATATATCTGTCAAAGTTTTCCATGTTAAAAACAGGTTGCTTGGTTCAGTTTTGCATCCAGTAGAAGGTTACACTGTGTGTGTTTGTGATGGGACCTAATGCTCAGTAAAGTGCATTTGATGCATCAGCAGACAGGAAGAGAGAGAAATGAATTTGGGTGCTAATGTGGCTCTGGGCCTTCCTAACACTGACAGATATGATCGAGCTACATGAACTTTACAACCTCCGCCGTAAACATCACACCTAAAAGACATTTAACATTGAAATAACATTTTGTTTCAGTTTATGCAAATGTAAATACATTCATAAATTACATGTGGGGTTAGGAGAATCAAGCTGAGAAACTAGAGAAGTCTGAAACCGATGAGCGCAACTCCTCATGTGAATAAACACGACCGTAGCCAAAAAACTGAACTCAAATGACGTTCCGTGCATGGGTATTTCCCCCTGAAAGTAGAGGCTGAGAGATGGAGTCTCACACGTACGTACACATTCCGCCGTCGGAAACTGGAATCCTCTCGCTTTCGTGAATTCCTGATTGACTCCAGTTCCCATGGTTACGCTGCAGTTCTTAAGCCTATGTGTACTGGCCTTTAGAAGACCACACCCATCTGACCGAGAAAAACAGAAGCGGTACAAACCAGAGAAACACAAATGAAGTGGTAGAAAGAAAAAGCGCTCCGTTCACGACACATGCAGAAGTGTGTCTCGGAGCAACGCAAGACGTTTACTTTTCATTTTTTCCCACGTTTGTCTGTTTTGATTTCCCACCCCTCAATAATTCACTTGGATATCATGCAATAGAGACGTGCAAAAAGATAACACCTAAATCCACAAAACACACTTTCATAAATGGCTGTGTTATGAATGCGTATAACATGTGTATGCCTACTCCATGCCGACCTACAGAGACAATATGACTTAAAAGCAGTGCGGAAGCCACAGGTCAAACGAATGCACAGGATGCCTCTACTGAGTGTATTAAAACCATATGGATGCATAAAACAATTCTTCTCTTAGTCTATGCAGCTATGGGGTCAAAACAATGCTAACATTGCGCTATGTATTTTTTTCCCTTCGCTGATTATCTTTTCATTGGAACTAAAAGATATTGATTGATTGGCACTTGTTCAATGCTTCTAAATAAGTTATCGATATCTAATGTTTCATCACACACCTACATGTCGAGAAGCTGTGAAGGTCTAGTTTGGCACAGGTTGACTATTATTACTGCGTCTATGTAATTAATATTGATACACCTCGTTTATACCCCTGTTGAAAAACGAGCACAATCCTAATCAACAGACCAGACTTTTTTTTTTTCCCTCAACTAAAATATTTCTGTATATTTCACTTATCAAATAGCAGCATTTTTTTACTTTTTTTAAACTTACGGTATTACAAAAAAGTACATGTAAACCTATTCATTCAAAATTTGTAGTATATCCAAAGGCTCATACAACAGACATAACAAAACACAAAACTTGACAACATGCTACAATATTGCTTCCAATAGTTCTTTACATTTTAAGTCGATCTAAAATTATCAATGACGTAGATATGGACACCAGCACTCCAAAGAGAGCAACTCTAATGCACAAACAAAATCGCAAAGCTAATCTTAACCAGGCTTGATTGGCACTTTCATCATCCACACGAGTATAACGGATAATCACACACTGAAACCAACAGCGCAAGACTGCATTTAGACCACAAACTAGAGGAACTACACCAAAATACACAAAGAACATGAGACGCGACGGATTCCACAGTTTCATTTTTAAAAAAACGAAGGAAAAATGCAGAAATGATCTTCGATAGTTCTCAGAGAGAGGAGAGAGAACACGGAGCACAAACGACAGTGATGTCATCGTTTGAGTTTGAGGTGGCTTTCACATCCATCTCCCTTAGGTTATTGTTTTTGTTTGTTTGTTTGTTTGTTTTTTTTCTTACCCAGAGTTCTTGGGTTTACAAACCTCTACGCTCTCTCAGAGCACAGATTCCCTGTTCTAGCTAGTTTAAGGTAGAATACTGAATCAATCAGGCAGAGAGCACGAGAATCTGATCGCATGTATTAATGTTAGACTATGTGGCGTATTAATCCAGAGGTACGGTGTTCACGACAGGGCAGAATACCCATCGGCCCCTGTGGAGACACACACCCTCTGCAATAAACACACACACACACACAACACATCCGTGGCGGGGAAGAAAGCGAAAGTGGAAAGGAGAGACAACAGAAAGCTGGAAAAGTGAGCAAGACATGAGGGAAGAAAAAGAGTTAGTGCAAAGACAGAGGGACGACACAGAGAGAGTGAGAGACAGAATTAATCCTAATGTCATGAGTGTCAACAAGCTGTTTTTCTCTAAATATAAATGACACCTCCTTTTCTGTAATCATATTACCCTCATATTGCTGCACCAAGTGCTTGTGCTTCTGAAATCAGGTACACAGTTTGATCTCCAAACAGTATTGAACAATAATTTATACTCCGAGAACCTGATGTCTCACGGCTGGTACTGAAACATAGTAAATAGTTCGGGAGTACATTAAGCATATGGCATGTTAAATGGTATGTTGAACGGTATTTAAACAGCAATCATGAGAGATGTGGAAATGTTAATATTCCTCACAATTATGTAATGGATATAAATAGGTTACTCTCTCGCCCTCTCTCTCTCCGTCTCTCTCTCTCTTCCCTCCTTTTTCTACGTTTCCGTTTCCTCTCTAGCGAGTAGATTAGAGGGCTGGTAGTTGGAGGGAGATGATGAATGCCTTTAAGAGTGTGTATGTAGGTCAGCAGTAGATTGGGCTGTGCAGTGTTGTTATATATAGAAGTCCAGGGTTCAAATGGAGATTTGCTA